TATCGTCTAACGTTCGTTCTCGCGATCGTTATCGGTATATATATTTACTTATAAAAAAAATATGTGTATATATATATATATATATATATATATACATATATATACACATATATGCATATGTATGTAAGATGGTTAGTGTTTAAAACACGAAGTAGTAACACACACTGCCGGTATCGATATTACCATGGTAATAATTATTCCCGAAGCGAAGGGTAGGATATACTATATCGTTTGATTTATCGATAACGCATAGGTAACGATTATCAACAAGGTTATCTCTAGGAACAACGTTAAACGTCGAACGCAACTCGTCCGTGCGATCGTTTAGAAACACCGTTTCCCTTCTGAACTCGTATTCGACCATGCAACGAACTGAATTTATCGTTTCTCTTTCCCCTTAAGAGAGTTAGTGTAAGAGAAGATAAAGAAGAAAATGATTATGCGGAGGAGGAAGAGGAGAAACAGAAGAGGAGGAGGAAGAGGATGTATAGAGGAGGATCAAGTATAAACGAACTATGTGCGTAATGCATGCACGTAACGCAATATCAGAGATGCAACGTGTAATTACGAAGCAAGCTTGACCGGACTTAAAAAGTCTCTTTTGAGAAGTCTGACCTTTCTGATACCACGACACGTGCATATCCTTCTTCTCTCGTCCTATTTTTCTATTGGACGAGAAAAATTTTCGTCCCAAGAAATTCACTTCCTTCATTGGTTATGATGCTTTCTTTTTTTTCTATATATAGGAAAACTTGTTTGATAAGCAAGAAATATCTAATTTTTGTGTGATTTTATAAAGTGAAATTATTAACTGAACGATAGATAATTTGCAAAAGTTTATATAATAGTTGAACAGCAGCATGTTTTCTATTTTTTCTTTTTTACTTGTAAATATATGCGAAAAATAGTGATTTATTTCGCGTTAAGTGTAATCATTTTCGATTCTTAAATTTAGATCAAAAATATTGTAAATGATTTCAACATTATACCAGTCGCAAAGTTTTATGATATAAAAGCTGTAATAAATTTTCATAATATTTTTTAAAGATTCCTACTAATTGTTTTTCAAATTTATTTAAATATAATTATAAAAAGAAATATTATTCGGATAGGGTAATAAAAAACATAGTAGAAATTTTTCAACAAACTTAATATAAAATATAAAGCTTCTATATATTATCACGTATAAAAATTTCAAATATTTTCTTACGTATTTACAAATTTTTCTATAATTCTAAATGACTCTTGTTCTATTTATGACGTCATGCTTGTAAATGACAAAAATTTCTTATTACGAGTTCTTTCGTTAAATACTTATTTTTAGGAGGGGGGTGAGGGTTTAATCTTTGTTCGTGGTTCATTACCATATATTTGCCAAGAAAAAAAAAAAAGAATCAAGAAATTTCGTCAGTGATCAGAATCGAAAGGATTATGCTCGTTGTTTTCACAATTATTTGTCTTTGTGGAGAACACGGCGTTATTTACATAATGCTAACCCTTCTAACTCGATGCGAGGAGTTTTTCCGAAATTACTGGTTTCGTTGTTTTACTCTTTTAGGGGAGAAACGTTTTCAAACTAACGATCTCGTTAAGAATTTATCTTGTAGTTTCTACTATCCACTATTTTCTTTCTTACTTGATATACCTTTTTCCGCTCGGAGATATCGATTAGTTCTCGAAAACGTGTCGACTAAATTCCAAGGACGATTGAAAGAAAAAAAAACGTCGAACTTTCATAATCAATTGAATTGAACAATTTGTCCGTAACGAATCGTGTCTCCATTTTGCAAGTGACCAATAACCTACACCGACGACTATTTGTCTTTGTGATTCGTTAGAAATTTTCTAATCTACATATTTACTTATGATATATACGTACATTTTCATTATTTCAAAATTAGAATTCGTTCACAATTCATCATCGATCAGCCATTCTCTCTCATTATGTTTTCATTTTGCGCGGTAGCTATTCATCATCATCATCATCATCATCATTATTACTATTATTCATCGATAGGTGATCAAGTAAAAACAAAAAATAAAATAAAATAATAAAAGACCGTGAACTGTTGGTAGGAAAAAAATTTTTATAATAAATGCATTGTATATATATAAAAGAAATTGAACAAAACAACTTTGAGTTTGTTGCACTCATCGATTTTGTCTTCATCATTTCTTAGGTCCAAGTATACCTACATTAATAATAAAAATAATTAATAAAAAATAAAAATATGTAATAATAAAAGGATGTAGGGGGGTAATTGATATCACGGTTGCATCAGGAGTTCATTAGGTCAGTTTCATAAGCAAATGTTAGCAAAGGAGGCAGTGAAAATGTGTCATGGAATAAAACCGACGAGTGTGACGATCCATGAAAATTAAGGGCAGTTTTGTTCTAACTATTTCTCTCTCTCTTTTTCTGTCTCTCTCGCACGCGATAATAAAATGGTTATTGCGTTTCGCACATTCGTTGCGCTTTTCTGCGGTGCACCGGTAACGAAAGACACGCGATAAAATTAATAATAGCAATAACAATAATAATGTAATAAAAAGAAGGAGAGAATGAAAAAGAGAGAAAGAGAAAGAGAGAGAGAGAGAAAGAGAGGAAGAGAGAGGAAGAGAGAGATTTTTCTATCTCTCTCTAACGATTCTTAAAATCACACCTTGTTTCTTATTCAAACGTTTCCATCTACACGTATTAAGCAAAGGCTGTCATTTTTCTTTTTCCACAATTATTTGTAAAAAAAATATGCATAAATATATATATATTTTGCACGTGTCCTGTATAATGTTGTGTAGATATATTTATAAGTAATATAATATATTCATTTGCGTTAGTAAATAAAAATACGTAAGTACCAAAAAAGTCCGGTTAATATTTCGAGAACGTTTGACATATTTATTCATTCATTTTATTCATTCATTCATTCTTTTACACTCACACAGATACACACATACATACATTCTTTTTCTTTCTCTTTCTTTTTATTTAATCATCGATCGATCATTGAGTATGTATCTAAATCACAGCTCATTCTTCTAATTATTTAAAACAAATAACTTTCACGATTAACTTGTTTATACCTATGAAAAATTGCGTGAGTACATATATGATACATACATATATATATATATTTACGTATATGTATTTATGTATAATATATTTATGTATATATATATATAAAACTTGAAAACATTCGTTATAAAATATTATTTTTACTAAAAACGACAATATCTTTTCGGTAGTGATTTTTAAATACTAAATAGATCATCGTATGATTGTATATATATATAACTAATATGTTTATACCTATACACGTTATTTCATTTATCATCGCATCTTGTTTAATTATTTAAAATATAATATTTAATGATCGTCGTCGGACGCATCCTAGCCAATCGTAGATTAATTAAACGATAATGTATAATTCGATTCGCGGATTACGTCAATAATTAATTCTTCGCGTCTTAGGAACAAGAATTTGTCGCGTATAAATCGCGCGAACTTTATTGCAAAATTTGCGTCGCCGACCCTGTTTTTATTTATTTATTTATTTACTTTACTTTATTTTCTTTTCTTTTTTTCATTATTATTATTATTATTATTATTATTATTATTATTACTATTATTACTATTATTATTATTTTTATTGTTTTGCACAAATCGAACCCAAGCGTCGGCGATAATAATAATATAATATAAATATGTATATAGAAGAGAGAAATGAGGGGAAAAATATATATACTATGCGATAATAAAGAATAAAAGATAGAACAAAAAAAAAGTAATAATTAATAAGGAAGACATAATAAAATGGGATGGTAGCGAGCATTAGGCAGTACTCGAGACGATTTGTTATTGTTTCTTTCGAAATTGTTTATTCCGTTTCGTTACGAGTAGTCATGGTTTTGCTCTCTTGTATATATGCATATATTGTTATTATTATTTATTTATCATCTCGTAAATTGTTTAAGGTCCATTTACATTGTAGCTAATATTGATAATAAAAACAAAAATAAAAAACACATTGATGGAAATGTAAGATAATAAGTTAAACATAAAAAACATTATGTATATATAAATATATACATAATTATTTTAATATTAATGTCAGCTACAGTGTAAATGGACCTTAATTCGCAAAAATAATCTACGTCCATTTCGACTTTTGACGAAGGTATCGAAGCGCGTTAGATCGAGAGATGCGCTAACCACGCATCGAAGTCTCTTCAAAGTCGATCGGTGAATGAATTCAAACTAACTCGGCGTATTACATGAATTTCCGCTTGGATCGAGTTGAACCGGATGTTGTTGACTCCTACTGGTGATAGGTGTCGTAGGATTAGCATTGGTTGCACTGGCTGTTTCCGCAGATGGACTTGGATTATTACTTCCACTGTTGCTAGCACTGTTGTTGGGCGGTTGTTGGGCTTGAACACTTGGTTTCTGTGTTACGTGGGTTTGGTAATGCTTAGCGAGATGCGCTTTCTGCCTGAAGCTCTTGCCACAAAGCGAACAGGCAAATGGTTTTTCTCCGGTATGTGTTCTTATGTGAACGTTCACGCTGTATTTGTCCTTGAAACCCTTACTACAGATACTGCAGTAATGTAATGAACGTTCCTTTCGTTGAACGCTACCTGGCGAGCCACTAGAGGCACCTTGTTGTTGTCCAGTTGAATTGCCAGTCCCATCAGCGGCATTACCGTTGCTCGAGCTGTTAGCATTATTGTTATTTCTATTTGCTCGTCTGCAGTATTTCTTCGGGGTCTTAGTAGTGACACCGACACGAGAGGAAGTCATTTGAAGTTGACTCGTTGGTGGCTGCTGTTGTTGTTGCTGCTGCTGCTGCTGCTGTTGCTGTTGTTGTTGTTCGACGTCTGGACGTGGAGTCGTTTGTTGCTGAAGCACATCCTGCTGAGCGGCCGTGACCACCGTGACGGTACTGACTTGACCGAGATCGGCTGGTAAGGTGATGGTACCTAGACTACCACTGGTAGGATCCAACGTATACATCACGGTCGTCGTCGCCGAGACGTTGCAAACTGGCTCGAGGCCACAATACGATTCGACGACCTCGTTCGCGATACTTTTGAGCTTCTCGTAATCACCAGGTCGATAGGTTGTCTGATCTAACTGAGAAAGTAGCAAATCTTCATCGGTACACGCGTGCATAGATTCGTCTTGCTGCTGTTGCTGTTGCTGTTGCTGCTGTTGTTGCTGTTGTTGTTGCTGCTGTTGTTGCTGCTGTTAGTAATATAATAATAACGTTTCAATAATATTTCATATAAAATATAAAATTCTTATATATTACATCAAGCAATATAATAGAATTAATTTTCTATAATGCACTAATTTCAAATCGATACCGTAAAACAATGTGTTCCTAAACTCTATCATGTGCTTCCTAATCGACTCATTAGGCTAATCAAGTACAGTATACTTTAAATTTTGAAATTACGCTTAATGCCTAACATTTATAAGTATTGACAATTTTAAAATGGGCAAAAAATATTCTAAATTCCGATTTCTTTTTTACACGTTGTTGTTGATTAGTTATCATGTGCAAAACCGAGCTATTTCTTACCGGTATAGACAGGGTCGATCCTTGAGACGTCGGGGATGATGAGGAAACCACTTGAGTCGGTCCTGTGTAAAGTTTACCTTGAAGAGCGCTTCTGAGAAGACTCTCTGCCGAATCACCGGCACCAACCGCTACAGCAGCAGCTGCAACAACTGCTGCCTCTTGAAGATTCTGATCGGATAATTTCCAATCATTGTTATTATCGCCACTTGTGCAGTTCGCGTTGGCAGAAGGCGTTCTGCCGCATAGTTCTTTGCTCTCGACGAAGCCACTGTCGTCCGTGGTATATTGAGAACTCGGTACTGTGAAACGATCGGTATGAAACCTATCGTTGACGGTCCTCGATACTTCTGTCATGTTCGTCGTTTGATCGTGTTCCTGATCGGCCGATGATGGTTCAAGACTTAGTATAGCATCTAAATCGAGACTGGGTCGTAACGACCAGGAATCACCTGACGTTGGTGCAGGACTTTTGCAATCTAATGCATCCATCGAATTAGCTTCGTTGTTTAATACAGTCAACGTATATATAGCTCCATCCGTATTTTGTCTATCGTTAGCGTTACATCCTCGACCAACCGTTTGATGATGATCGTTAGGTCCACCAGTATGAACGTTAACCGAATCGTTCCCATGCGTTTGTGAATTGGCATGAGCCGACCAACAATACTTGCTGAGATCCTCGAGTAATATATTGCACGTTTGTTCTTTACTATCGTCCGTAGTCCAATAATCACAATCGGATTGATCCATTGCTACTTGTTCACTGCTTGGCTGTACGTTACAGGTATTACCGTGATGCGCTCTAACGTGATGTTGGTGATGATGATGATGATGGTGATGATGACTGAGTGAACCAGTTATCGTTGAGACCGGCGGCAAAGCCGTCAACGTGTTGTTATTGGTCTCCTTTATGAACGGGGACCCGTGAAGATCTCGGCTTGACTCGTGATCCTCGTGACTCTGTTGAAGATAACCGATACTCCGACAGGTGGTACGATGGAGAAAGCTTTCCTCGTCGGAGACCACACCGTCTGTAGACGTACAATTTGCAGTAGGTGAAACGACGAAATCAAAAAAATCTGTTTTTGGCAAATCCTCGCCGCCCCCGCCTGGGGCAAATGCCTCCGTTAGGTCCATTAAATCTTTTTTCTTTTTCAATATCGTCTTCGTGATGGTAATCAAATTCGTTAAAATCTCCCCCTCCCCCTCCCTCTCAGATTCGAGATATATATAGCAAAGATCCTGTTTCTTTGATAATTTTACGGGCAGATTGATATTTTAAACTTTTGTTCTTGTCCTTGTTGTTTCTCAACAACTTGAATTCTTCTTCGCGTTTCTACGCGCTATGATAGACCACCACATTCTTCGGTTCGACGTAGGAATCTGAAATAAAAAAAAAAGAGAAGAAAATTACGAGATGATCGAAATGATTGGAATGTATGTTTTTTTTTTTGCTTTTTTTTTCTGATGGTGTAAATCACTTCGATTTGTAATAACGAGACGAGAACATTTGCGATTAGATTTTGCTTAGTTACGCGTGCGCGTATATTTTATCCTATGGTAACGAGTATTTTATAATGAATGGCACGCAACCAAAGATTCTCGGCGATAGTCCGAGTTTCGCAGCCGTTAAATCAATAACGCGTTACGTTACAAGCAATCATCTTTATTTCTCTTGAATATATAAGTTCTTTCTTAGTATATGAGACACATCTGTGTGTTATACTTTTCTATACAACGATATATGTTAATTCTGTAATGAGCGTTCTAGATTCATTCGAGAGAAGCGATAAAAAAGCTAATTTCAAAAGGTCATCCCACAGATATCTAAAATTTTTATTAGACGTTACCGATCGAAAATGTTCAGAGTGTGGTGTGGCGGTAATAAGCAATATTTCATAATACTCAACTATTTCAAAAAAGAAAAAAAAACCTCAAGGAAAAACATGTTGGTTTTCGAATTCGATATACTACTTCGGAAAATCTACGTCAAAGCTGATCCCGTAAACACTTGTACCGTTATTCACCGTTACCGTCGTGAGTCTATATCGTTGCAACTAATTGTATCTCTCAGTTCGAATAGTAATTTATAATTTATATGCATAATTTAGTGTCACATATAATTTCAACGTTAAATATACAACACAAAATAACTAAACGTTCTACAAATTATTATTATAATACTGATTTTTTAAATTTATTAAAGAATTTGTCGGAATGATCATATTGAAAAAGTATTTCGAAATAATACGATGACACGTTAGAAAAATCATGTCAAGATTTTCTCGTTAATAATAAATAAATTGACGAAAGTGCCTAATCATCGGAGTGTATACCAGTTCGTATGTGAAAAACACTTTCTGGTGAAATACTATTGAACGTGTAAAGCTTAATTCGAATTTAATAATCCTATTTATTAGAAATTAATAACAATACTGATGATAGTGGGGTGAGTAGGGAGACTTTCGGGCATCGTAACGAATCGAAACACACGTTAAATATAATACGTACATAAAAGTTAAGCGGATTTTCATCGCTTATTGAATTTTCTATGGCTATTGTATAGCGAGATCGCGACAAAATCTTTAATCTAACACGCCTAATGCTAATATACCTCTCCTCCCTTCCTTCACTCCAATGGAAATGGGACAATCAAAGATATACGTTGAATTGCGAAATAAAAAGCAATAATCGTATCTTCTCACTGTTAGAGATAACTGCTACACAATTTAAATATATATATATGTGAGTATACATATGTATTGAGTACATAACGTGTGCCTAAGTACGGATATTAAATTCCTAAGTTTATAGTAGTTATACTATTACGGAAGAGAGATTCCTATGCTTTTAGCACCATCCACACAATAAGCGTATTAGGGTACGTTGTAATAGAAAGTATCGGGGAAACAAGATCGAGAATTTATTTATATATCAACAACTATGTTCAATATATTCTATCAATATACTTTGATGTTCGATTTTATTACAAGTAGTATGACTATTTTAGTAAACCGGATATATACCAAATGGAATGAGATGGTAGATTTTGTAAGAAAAAAAAATATCAACTGTCATACTAGCTAAGCTCTATAGTATCGATGAATCACGATTTAGACATATTCTTATCAAGAAGAATTCTATTCGAGTCATTGTAAGAATACTCACGAAGTCGTGAGAAAGAATCATCATAAGACGGTATTGTTCTCTTATTTTCTGATCGATGACATTGACGACCACCAATCGAAACTCTCTATCGACAATATTTTTCCCTTAAACCTTTTTCCTTTCCTTTACCCAGGCCACCCCGTCCTCCTCCACGCACATACACATGGATATTTTTAAACGATTACATTTGTATATGTCGAGACATTCGATTTCAAATGTTAACACTTCATGACCGATTTTCTTGCATTGTAAATAACTGTCAGTATTTAGTACAATGGTCGGCATACCATTTGTTAAGTATGCTCCAGATTTTCCGTAATTTTCTTTCAGTCGGTTAATGGCGCGGTGAGCTATGGAAAGAGAAAATAAAAAAGAAAAGAAAAATATAGTAGGAAGGAAGGAAAGAAAGAAAGAAAGAAAGACAAGGCAAAGAGTGTCGGGCATTAGGCCGAAGAGAGACCCAAGTACTCTCTCGCATGTTCTAGGCGTGGGAACGCACCGTAGCCGTGTATAAATTCACTATAGCTGCCCCGCGAGAGAGTAGAAACGCTATAGGCGGTCTCTCTTACTTTAAAGTGTTCTCTATCTACTAGTTGAAAAGAGAGTCCCTCTACTTATATACCTACATACATACGTTAGATACGTTATACGTATATTAACGTATATATATAGAAAGAAAGAGAGAGATAGAGATACGTGCTTACTAACAGCGAGTAAGGCGTTCGCCTTTAGATCTATCTATCGTCTCTCTTACTTACTCTTTGATTTTCATTCGCTTTGCAGTAGATAGATAGCAAAACGTGGCCGCATACAGACAGACGCGTGGCCGCAATCGCGGGACGACGTACAACTACTCGCTTGGTATGAGGTATAAGGTATAACGCTTGCGCAACTTCTTTTCCGTGAGCTATCTTGCACTACTCGAGTCACCAACACTATCAAATAAATAAGAGTGTATGGCACTACTACTACTACCACCACACTACCACAACCACTACCACCAATACTATCACGATTACCAACATTACTATAATATTACTACTACTACTATTACATCGATTCTATATTTATATCTTTTTCTTCTCTCTTTTTATCTTACTAATGTCATTTATGTCGTCTATGTTGTCCATGTCGTCTGTGACGTAGTCAAACGCACTGTACCAAATTAATGCGACTTATATATATATATATATATATATATAGTATAGACAGAGTAAGCACGACGATTCGTGGCACGGTTCTTGGTTAGAGGTACGGCTAAATGCCAAGCGTGGTACACAACAATTGATCGAGCCGCTATCCAGTTCTACACCCGGATGTCCGAGCCTACAACATTGTCTTTGGTTTGCTCGTGCAGGCCTCGTTGTTCTTGCATTTGCTGTTCCAAGAGAGATAGAAAGAGAGAGAACTCTTGATTATTACCCGTCGACCGATCGCCAACCTTGATCGTCGCTGCTTAACTATCTTGCCATTTATATCTTCCTTTTTCTTCATTAATATTTTGAAAAAAGAAGAAGAAGAAGAATAAGTAGAAAAAGATGATAGAATAATATTAATTAATCATGTATTAAGTATCACGTTGAAACTGATCTCTTATCTTTGAAATTTATTTTTATTTTATGTTAGAGACATTTTAATTGTATACTATAACATAGTGATTATTATCTTTTATTTTATTTTTTTTCTAGCCTGGTATTTAGAAACAAAGATTTTATATTTTATTTTTTAAATTACAAGAAAAAATGCTATTTCTTTTTTTTTTCTTCTAAGGAACGATTATTATCATTTCGTAAATTTAGCATAGATTTGGATCAGAATGATGTAAAGTGGTGACACATGAGTCTGCGTCGATTAAGTCGACTGCCAAGTTTTGCTAGACGTTTATAATGCTCGTAAAACCCGAGTGGTATCGTTTAATCGTCGCTAAAGAAAACCTTCGTCGTCGGGGGGTACATAACAATGAAGGCGCAGATATTTACGAGCGAGCAGCAAGCAAGCAAGCAAGTAAGCAAGCTAGCTTGCTAGCTAGCCTACAGTTCTTTCTTTCCATTGCGAGTAGAACGGTTCGGGACAGTCGTGATCGCTCTCTCGACGTTCGCCAATTAGGTCGGCTCCGTGACGTGAGCTCAGAGGTGGTTGCGAAGGGGATTCGTGAACAACGACTACAGACAGACCTATAAACCCTTCCTTCTTTCCAGTCAAACGAATTTTCTTTACATTTTCCAATATCTTCGATATCCAACAATTTCTATCAAATCATTCGTTCATTTAGATCAAATTTTATTTTGTTTGGCTAACAAAATTATTTCATTTCGTTTGTAATTTTTGTAACTCCGCCTAGTTAGAATCTAGATACCTAGATAATAACTAGCTGGTCCCAAGCCCAGATAAAGGAGGAGGGTTCGAGGATGAGGTTAGCAACCTACCCTCAGTAAAAAAAATATCCCTAACTTCACACTCTAAAAAGGATGTGAAGTTACGGATAACAGGACAAAGTCTTAATAATAAGAAAAAGAAGAAGTTTGTAATTTTTGCGTTGTTGATTAATTGTTATTTTAATTAGATTTAGTGTTGTATTCTATTTTACAACAGTTCTTTTCGTAATATTAATTATTATAATTTGTTTCTTCTTTCTTTTTTGTCTCTTTTTCTTACTATTCTTTTTACCACTCACTTTTATACACTCTGTAACTTTGAATTATTATTTTAATTATAATATTTATAATTTAATTTAATTTTTCTTAATTATATCATTTAATTAGAACACATAACATATATTCACAGTAATAATAATAATAATAATAATAATAATAATAATAATAATAATATGGATAATTATTACTAATTTTTGTATATTATATACACGACAATATTTCTTTAACTATATTCACATATATACATATGTATATATAAAATAATTATATGACTATTGATATTAGTTCGTGCAATAGAATTATGCATGTGTATCGGCATTAGAACGATGTTTTAAGCTCGTTAGATTCGAGCGTGCTACATTGGTGGTCTTCCGCGAGATACGTTTCGTGAGATCGTACGATCTACTATGTAGCAAGCCTAAGTGCTTCCGATGACCATAATTCTTGATCATTACGAAGACAATCAGTTGGCTAAACTGGCAGCCTCGGGCTAGCACGATGAAAGATCTTTGAAAAATTCAGAAAAATTCATTATTAATGAAATTCATATTTATTTATCTT